GTTACAATAAGTTTAAAAAAGATCGGTCTTTTTATAAGACCTTTACACAATGAAAATAAAAGATACAATTCTCTTGAAAATAAATGCAAGATCCGTTTATCGTCTCCTACTTACGTGGGTGTCTTCGCCTGTGCCGGGGTTTATACGTGGACCATCTTTGATCAGATCCAGTTGCTGAAAATTCGGCAGAGCTCCTACCTCACCAAGGAGGTATTTGCTTAAAGCGTTGAAATCGATCAAGCGAAATCAGTAGCTCTTTTTGAGATTAAGACCAAGCCTAATCTCGAGGAACGGACGGGAACGGGCTTCAGATCCTTCGAATTGCTCCTTCTTTATGCTGGAATTCGCCAGGATCTCGTTAGCCCTTGCTGAAATTCGTGCTCCCTTGCTCTCCAACTCGGCAGCAGCTCCTCGTCTTGATAATTATTCCCCCGCTGAAAGGAGGCTCTAGACTCGTATTTATAGGCTTCGGTTAGGGGTTTTCGGATAAGAATGATGGATTTGGCCATATTTTTAGTTAATAACGGTCTAACCATGTTTGTGGATGATATGAAGTCAGTTGGGAACCCCTGGAACAGATAAATCCCGAGAAAACCACTTAAAACCATCAAAAACGCGTCCGGGGATCAAAACAGTGGGTCAGACGGATCCGTCCCGCGTCGGCGCGGGTTGGACGGATCCGACCCGCGGTTACTGTAGCATCAAAGCGACCTACGGTTATTGTAGCAACAAAGTGACTCACGCTACTGTAGCACCAAGAGTGACCTGTGGTTATTGTAGCAACAGGCGACCCACGGTTACTGTAGCACCAAGCAACCCCCCGCGGTTGCTGTAGCACCAAGTGACCCGCAGCTACTGTAGTACCAAGAGTGACCCCGTGGTTATTGTAGCAACAGGCAACTGTAGCACTAAAGTGACCCGCGGTTACTGTATCAGCAAGTGACCCGCGGTTACTGCATCACCGCGCAGTCACTGTAGCACCGCGCGGTTACTGTAGCACTAAGCGATATTATTGGCCTCAACTAATGAAGAGAACAAAAATATATGTGCGACGCTGTCTAGTTTGTCAAGTTGCTAAGAGACAGTCCCAAAATACGGGATTGTATACACCCTTACCTGTTTTTGATTTTCCATGGCATGATATCTCGATGGATTTTATGTTAGGACTCCCTAGAACCCAATGAGGTATGGATTCTGTTTTTGTTTTTGTTGATAGATTTTCAAAGATGTCGCACTTTATTCCATGCAAGAACACATCAGATGCCAGCAACATTGCCAATCTTTTCTTTTGGGAGATAGTTCGCCTTCATGGAGTACTAAAATCCATCACATCTGATCGTGATTCCAAGTTCTTATCCCACTTTTGGAGGACCTTGTAGCATCAAGTCAATACTTCACATAAATTCAGTACTGCTTACCACGCTCAAACGGACAGGCAAACTGAAGTGGTAAATCATACTCTCGGTAACCTTCTTAGATCCATCTCTGGCGATCGTCCGAAGTGTTTCCGTCGAAAATTATTTTCTTTATTGTATAACTCATTACAACTTTGATCGTTACAATAAGTTTAAAAAAGATCGGTCTTTTTATAAGACCTTTACACAATGAAAATAAAAGATACAATTCTCTTGAAAATAAACGCAAGATCCGTTTATCGTCTATTGCTTGCGTCGGTGTCTTCGCCTGTGTCGGGGTTTATCCGTGGACCATCTTTGATCAGATACGGTTGCTGAAAATTCGGCAAAGCTCCTACCTCACCAAGGAGGTATTTGCTTAAAGCGCTGAAATCGATCAAGTGAAATCAGTAGCTCTTCTCGAGATTAAGACCAAGCCTAATCTCGAGGAACGGACGGGAACGGGCTTCAGATCCTTCGAATTGCTCCTTCTTTATGCTTGAATTTGCCAGGATCTCGTTAGCCCTTGCTGAAATTCGTGCTCCCTTACTCTCCAACTCAGCAGCACCTCCTCGTCTTGATAATTAATCCCCGCTGAAAGAAGGCCCTAGGCTCGTATTTATAGGCTTCAGTTGGGGGTTTTCGGATAAGAATGATAGATTTGACTATATTTTCAGTTAATAACGGCCTAACCATGTTTGTGGATGATATCAAGTCAGTTGGGAACCCCTGGAACAGATAAATCCCGAGAAAACCGCTCAAAACCATCGAAAACACGTTCGGGGATCAAAACAGCGGGTCGGACGGATCCGACCCGTGATTACTGTAGCATCAAAGAGACCCGCGGTTACTATAGCAGCAAGCGAACCCCCCGACTACTGCAGCAACAAGAGTAACCCTGGTTACTGTAGCAACAGGCGACTGTAGCACTAAAGCGCCCCCCGCGGTTACTGTAGCACCAAAAGTGACCCGCGGCTACTGTAGCCCACACAAAAGTGACCTGCGGTTACTGTTAGCAAATAGCGACATGCGGTTACCTGCAGCACCAATCGACCCCCCGCGGCTACTGTAGCACTAAGCAACCCCCCGTGGTTACTGTAGCACCAAGCGACCCGTGGTTACTGTAGTACAAAATTGACCCCGCGACTACTGTAGCAGCAAGCGACCCGCGGTTACTGTTGCACCAAGAGTAACCCCGCGGTTACTGTAGCAATAGTTGACTGTAGCAGCAAAGTGACCCGCGGTTACTGTAACAGCAAGTGACCCGCGGTTAGTGTAGCAGCAAGCGACTTGAGCACCACGCGGTTACTATAGCACCAAGCGATATTATTGGCCTCAACTAAAGAAGAGAACAAAAATATATGTGCGGCGCTGTCTAGTTTGTCAAGTTGCTAAGAGACAGTCCCAAAATACGGGATTGTATACACCCTTACCTGTTTTTGATTTTCCATGGCATGATATCTCGATGGATTTTGTGTTAGGACTCCCTAGAACCCAACGAGGCATGGATTCTGTTTTTGTTTTTGTTGATAGATTTTCAAAGATGTCGCACTTTATTCCATGCAAGAAGACATCAGATGCTAGCAACATTGCCAATCTTTTCTCTTGGGAGATAGTTCGCCTTCATGGAGTACTAAAATCCATCATATCTGATCGTGATTCCAAGTTCTTATCCCACTTTTGGAGGACCTTGTAGCAGCGATTCAATACTTCACATAAATTCTGTACTGCTTACCACCCTCAAACGGACGGGCAAACTGAAGTGGTAAATCATACTCTCGGTAACCTTCTTAGATCCATCTCTGGTGATCGTCCGAAGTGTTTCTGTCGAAAATTAATTTCTTCATTGTATAACTCATTACAACTTTGATCGTTACTATAAGTTCAAAAAAGATCGGTCTTTTTATCAAGGTTTTAAATATCGGTTATCGGGGATTTATCGGACGGCCAAAATCCTTATCGGATAGCGGAAGTCGGGGATATGTCGGGGATAAGTAGTATTTATCGGAGTGATATACTGAATGATGTGTATATATAATATAACAATTAAAAAATATAATCTAATCATGCTTAATGAAATATAAACATATATAATATAACAATTAAAAAATATAATCTAATCATGCTTAATGAAATATAAACATACCAAAATGTAAATCTTCATGTTTAGAATCATTAACTAGTTGTAGAAAGCAAAACTTGCATCATAGCCTTGAAAAAAAATATAATGTTAGTCACAATTGGCCGATAATCCCGATAATCCCGATAAAAAAGTTTTACTTATCGGCCGATAAGTGCCGATAACGCCGATAAATCGCCGATAAACCTAGAAAAACGATAACCGATTAAAAATCTAATTTATCCTAGCGGAGAGCTCCCAAATCCGATAACTCGGCCGATAATATCGTTTATCGGCCGATATTTAAAACAGTGCTTTTTATAAGACATTTACACAATGAAAATAAAAGATACAATTCTCTTGAAAATAAACGCAAGATTCGTTTATCGTCTCCTGCTTACGTGGGTGTCTTCGCCTGTGTCGGGGTTTATCCGTGGACCACCTTTGATCAGATCCGGTTGCTGAAAATTCGGTAGAGCTCCTACCTCACCAAGGAGGTATTTGCTTAAAGCGCTGAAATCGACCAAGCGAAATCAGTAGCTCTTCTCGAGATTAAGACCAAGCCTAATCTCGAGGAACGGACGTGAATGGGCTTCAGATCCTTCGAATTGCTCCTTCTTTATACTGGAATTTGCCGGGATCTCGTTAGCCCTTGCTGAAATTCGTGCTCCCTTGCTCTCCTACTCGGCAGCACCTCCTCGTCTTGATAATTAATCCCCACTGAAAGGAGGCCCTAGGCTCGTATTTATAGGCTTCAGTTGAGGGTTTTCGGATAAGAATGATGGATTTGACCATATTTTCAGTTAATAACGGCCTAACCATGTTTGTGGATGATATCAAGTCAGTTGGGAACCCCTGGAACAGATAAATCCTGAGAAAACCGCTCAAAACCATCGAAAACGTGTCCGGGGATCAAAACAGCGGGTCAGACGGATCCGACCCGCGGTTACTGTAGCATCAAGCCCGACCCGCGCGTCACTCATAGCAGCAAAGCGGACCCGCGGTTACTGTATCAGCAAAGTGACATGCGCGCTACTGTTAGCCCCCAAGGAGTGACATATGGTTGCTTAACAACTGCACTGCTCTAGCACTAAAGGCGACCCGCGCCGTTACGTATGTAGCAGCAGAGTACCCGCGCGACCGCAGCAGACAGGGCAACCCGCGGCTGCTGTGGCGCAAGCGACCCCCTTTTTGCAGGCTACTGTAGCCCACCAACCACACCGCGGTTACTGTAGCAGCAGCGCACCCGCGTTTTCTGTTAGCACCAAAGCTCAACTCGCGGTTACTGTAGCACCAAGCGACCCTACCATGCCAAATGTAGCACCAATGCACCCGCCACTGGCGTTACTGTAGCCAGCATGCCGCCGTCTTAGCCACTAAAGTGGCCTCGGTTACTGTAGCAGCATGATGTGACCACGGCCGTTACTGTAGCACTACCCCGGTTACTGTTAGGCAGCTGCCGGTTACTGCTAGCACTAAGCTGACTCATGGTTACTGTAGCCAGCTATTATAATGCTGTTCTCCATCATCAAAGAATTAAGGGAGTCTCCCTGTTAGAGCTCTCCACAAAATCCAAGGCAATGATAGCTTCTCATCCCTACTCATCTTCGCCGGAGCCAATAAATCGATATGCCAACCTTCTAGCCGCTCTCCACGCTCGCCGCTTCGAGTGCTATCGTTACGCCAGTCGTTGAAACTAAGGAACATGTTCCGCCACCGTCTTCTACCTCTTTCGCACCTCTTGGTCTTGACCAGTCAGTCCGATCAACCTGGGCTCATCGGGCCTGGGTCGCACTTGGCTCTCTCTCTATCATCATCGCCTTGACCAATTCAGTCCTTGCTGCAGTCCATTCCGGCACGATCATCAAACCCATCCTCACCGTGGTCCTCGGATACACTCTCGCGGACCTTGCTACAGGAATTTACCCCTTTGCCATAGACAACTACGCGACAGCCCGCCAACAACCTCTACGCCCTCGCTCGTGGGGCGTTCTTCGCAGTCATCCCGTTGGAACTTGCAGTCGTCAGCACTCACGGCGATGAATCGACAGCTGCGGTGACCCACGCCTTTATTGGCGTTTGTGCCTGGCTTCTCGTGCTGAGTCAGCAGTTCCACGCGTGGGCCCACAGGACTAAAGGGAGGGTGCCACGGTGGGTGGAGGCCCTACAGAGGGCAGGGGTGCTGATTTCGAGAGATATGCACAGGGCGCACCACAAGATGCCGTACAACAACAACTACTGCATAGTGAGCGGGCTGTGGAACAAATTGTTGGATGACAATAAGGTGTTTGATATTGTGGAGATGGTCGTGTTCTTCGTGTTTGGGGTTAGGCCCAGGTCCTGGGGTGCGCCCACGGTGGAGTGGATGGAGAAGAAGAAAGAAGAAGGCTAGAGGGTAGAGAGATTGTGAATCACACTATGTGTAGTAAAAATTGTACCTATATTATTTGTATAGAAGAGGTCAGGTTATTGTTTAAGGAGACTAACTGGGATCTCTCCTTTATAGAAATTGGGGGTATTACTAAACTCACAAGAAAAAATGTCACTTTAAGCACGCAAAAAATGCAATGTGTGGTATATTATTTTAATAATAAATTGGAATTCTTCTATAGTGTGTTTTTTTTTCTGCCTGTAATCACGCTTCTCATCAAATTCAATTTATCCATGATTAAAAAATTCTAATTAAAATCAAATATTTAGTAATTCTAATCAATTCATAATTATTCATAATTACAAAAATCTAATAATCATACTTTTACTATCTTTATTTATTATTCATTTCAAAAATTCTGATAATGACATTTTTAATTCTCTTCTTTTTTGTATGTAGAGGAGGGATTAATGGTTTACTATTAGCCTTACATTTCAAAAAATTGTCACATGATTCTATCCTTAATATTTTTAAAGATAAATTTCAATAATTCTCTAACAAGTTTAGATCTGTTGGAGTAAGCTCTAAAATTTTTTGAAACCCGATAAGTTTTTTGCACTTAACCCCATAAGAGCAGTACCCCACAATTACACACTGATGAACATTATCCCTCAAAACTAAGATATACCTCTCAAATCATTCCTATTTGCAAATTAACCTATAAAATTATAAAAACTCTTTAAAAAAAATACAAAATTGCAAATATTCATCCGAAAAATATGAAACTACAAATAACCCCTTGAAAACTACAAAAACAACAAACATAAACTATAAAACATAAAAATTACAAATAATTCCTAAAAATCTAAAATTACAAAAATGCCTGTGAAAAATAAAACATTACAAGAATACCCTAAAAATTAAAAATAAAATACAAGGACTATTCAGTATTACAAATAGCTCCCCAAAAATCTAAAATTATAAACAATCCATTTTAAACTTTGAAATTAGAATTAACCTCCTCAAAAATCTGATAAGAACCCTGGAAATGATAAACAAACATTATTAGGGATCTCTAGCAAAAGTTATTAGGGATTAAGTGAAAAAAACTAGACTTATTGTATATTTTCTTTCAAAATTTCTTGGTGGTATTTTGGTCTCATTTAACCGTACATTATTTAACAATGTTAATATGGAAGTTTTTTGCCAAAAGCTTTCAGGGTTTAGTAAGAGTTCAAAGGTATTAGGGGTTTAGTGTCAAACATTAATTTTTTTTAGGAGTTTAGTGAAATTTACCCATATTTCAATTTTTATAGAGAGGATAGTTATTAGTTTGGGGTGGGTGTGGGCCGAGTCGGTTCATGCTTGTGAACCGGCTTGCCTGGTTCAAGGCTGGGGCGAATCTTAGCTGAACCCACATAGGTGAAAGTGGGTTGTGTCTGCCTCTCTGATCCTGAGTATGGGATCGGACCTAGCCCAGCCCAAGTGTTGGAGAATTTCACTCTCCCCGCCTACTACAATATGCGCAACTCGAATGCCAACCCAAAATTAAGAAGATATAAAACAATCACAATCAAGAAAAAAGAACATCAGGATTTACGTGGTTCGGTCGACCAACTTCAACCTACGTCCACGGGACAACAATACGAGAAATTCACTATGTATCAGGGAGAACTACAAGAGAAACCACTTAACTCTCGTCTCTCAATCTCTTAACCTCACATACATAATTAACTCTCATATTTTCTCCAAAGCCCGCTCCTTGTAATCTTTTGCACGGATAAAGATCACGAAACCCTCGTCTCTCGCACAATATTCTTGAATCAGGCTATACCCTCTGTTAACCTTAGATTACAAGAATATTGGTTCTCTCTCTACTATATTTTCTCTCTACTCTCTTCTTCTTAGTTTTTCCTCCAACAATAGAAGAATATATATAGGGAAACCAAAATCCTATCTCTAGCCTAACTTCCTAATTAGAATAGGATTCAAACTCCTAATCATAATGGAATCCAAACTCCTAATCATGATAGATTTCTAACTCTATCTAATTCTCATGAAGTTATACAAAGAATCAAAGACACAATCCCAACAATCTCCATCTTGGATTTGATTCCTAAACTCCCTTGAAGATATATCATTGTCATCTTGAAACTTTGTCTCTCCCTCTAGAGTCTTCTATTTCTTTCGCACTTCAAATCGAAGTAGCCACACTCCTAATCAGAACACCTGCACTCTAACTGGTTGTCTTGTTGCCCTCACTATCATCTTCTTCACCGTGGCGCCTCCACCTCTCTTGTGTGCACCAAGAGATCTTCGTCACCTCTGATAATAAAAGCAAATCAATCATGCTTGTCATCCCAACTTGAGCCTGACAAAATAGCCTCCCCCTACTTGTTATCCTTGTGCTCCACCTACATTACTCGTCTCGAATCATATCAGTGCACCTCTCCTACTCCACACTACCAGCCAAATGCTTCTATCTCCTCCATCACTTGGATTGGACCAAATATAAGCGCTCATCATCTTCAAGTCTAATGTCACCATCTCTATTACCCTGTGTGTCACTCAGTCGTTCCAGCTTGCAAGCTCCACCTAATCTGGCACTATCCTCCTCTAGTCTACACACTAACCAACTACTACTCCCGTGATGGCTTTGAATAATTATATGGTGACAACTCTACTGCTAGAATCACATCTGATTCTCTATGTTAGTCTCATCTGTCACATACTTGTTTGCACTATCTGTCATCAGATCTGTCTTGCTGTTGAATAGCGTGATATCGATCGAACTTTGGACCCGAAGAAGTTATCATTCTCTAACCACGATCAAAATTCAAATCAATCATTGTAGAGATTGAATTTGATAAAACTGATGCCAAAAACGAACTCAGCACGTCGAAAAACCTAGGAACGACTCCTGAATCACCAAAATCCACCTCCAAATCCTCGACTAAAAGACAAATCAATCTCAACCGTTAGATCTGTGTGAACAGTACCCGCGTGCCACTCTAGTGTTCCTGCTACAGTATCTATCTACAGTTCTCGGTCGCTATAGTGTGTCGCTGCTACATTAATTTTCCCCCCTTTTTCTTTTTCTTTTCATCTTGATTCTTATAACGCCAACCTTCAATCTTGCACGACGTCGTCTTTTATCTTGCAAATTTTCACCCGGATCCATCACCATTACTCTGGTACTACTTGTTAGAGAATTTCACTCTCCCCGCCTACTACAATATGTGCAACTCCGAAGCCAACCCACAATCAACAAGATATAAAATGACCACAATCAAGAAAAAAAGAACACCGAGATTTACGTGGTTCGTCGACCAACTTCAACCTACGTCCACGGGGCAACAATACGAGAAATTCACTATGTATCAGGGAGAACTACAAGAGGAACCACTTAACTCTCGTCTCTCAATCTCTCAACCTCACATACATAATTAACTCTTATATTTTCTCCAAAGCCCACTCCTTGTAATCTTTTGCACGGATAAAGATCACGAAACCCTCGTCTCTCGCACAATATTCTTGAATTAGGCTACGCCCTCTGCTAACCCTAGATTACAAGAATATTAGTTCTCTCTCTACTACATTTTCTCTCTACTCTCTTCTTCTTAGTTTTTCCTCCAACAATAGAAGAATATATATAGGGAAACCAAAACCCTATCTCTAGCCTAACTTCCTAATTAGAATAGGATTCAACTTCTAATCATGATGGAACCCAAACTCCTAATCTTGATAGATCTCTAACCCTATCTAATTCTCATGAAGTTATACAAAGAATTAATAACACAATCCTAGCACCAAGACCCCCTTACGACTGAGCCGGGTCAGAACAAGCTCACGGCCCGTGGGTTGTGGATCGGCCCATGGGTTCCTTTTTTCATTTTAAAGGTTTTTCTATTTAAATATTAAACTTGTATTTATATTTGTAAAATAATATTTAAATTTTTTCCTATTTCAAACTCTTTATTTGATATTATATATGTGTGTGTTGCACAAAGATAAACATCACACAAAAAAGCATCTTAAACATATAGATATACATAGTTCGAATTACAGAGAAAGATCTACATCCATGAAAAGTTAATAACTTTGATTTAGTTTAAATATAAATTATAAATACAAGAAAAAATGCTAATTGTTAATGTTAACAAAAACATTCATAATTAACTCAGGCCGAGCTGATATGAGTCGAATCGGGCCTATAGTGGGGTCAGGACTACCTCTTCGGTCCTGGGTCTAGCTCAAAACCCAGCCCAACCCATGACCCATCTCCAGTGTGGGGGCCGGGTTGGCACTGACCCAGTGCGGGTCGGGTCGGGTTTTGATCTAACCTGGGTTGGGCCGGTTTGGCCCAGGGTTCGAATCGACCTATGCCCAACCCTATTATTAGTGGTTACACATGGAGACCTTATATTATTGAAGAAACAGATTAGCTGTTACTGTTGTTCTAATATACATTGGTTATGAAATTAAGATGAAAAAAGAAATGGTTTGAATCATCATTTATATATAATAAAAATTTGTGATTTACTGTTTACCTTGCAAACCACCCCAAAAAAAAAGGAACGCCAAGAAGAAAACAAACGTCTAATGTGGTTGTGCACTTTAGTTATGAATTTGCTTTACTTAGGTCTGGACATGCTTAATTTACTTTTCATGATATTTTATGCCGAGCATTTTGCTTAAGATTTTCTAATAGAATGCTATTAAGCCTTGCTGGTTAGCTAATTGTTGCATGTCCTATATCAATGTGTGTACTTGCTAATTATTGCATATCATATGTTAATGTGCACATTCTTTCTACTCTTGAATTAGGGCAATGACTTGCTAACTTGTTTAGTTTAATGACGGATCATGTGATTGCACTTAACTTATGGATTTGATATAGGTAGTCATAAATTTGTTTAATTCAGCTGTGATGAGGTTATATGTGAAGCGTTATGCTTACACTTTTCTGGTGGGAAACTGATTGACTCTCATGGACTGGTTGGGTATTTTTTTTTTTGGTAAATGAAAATTTTATTCATCACCAAGATGTAAAAAGTATTTACATCAAGAATCTCCTCACATATGAGAGAGAACAAAAAGTAGCTAGAGCTTAAAAAAATAGCTCAGCAAAGCTTCTCAATGAAATAACCTCAAAAACAAGGTTGGGTATCTTATACCAACCTAAGATGCAATTACCCCATATCCACCAGAAACCTTAC